ACTCAAGTGCGAGAGAGAAATGAGGGTTTGCAGAAAGTGCCTTCTTGGGTCACGACTTCAAGGTCCGTGTACATGAAAATGAGTGATAAGCGTCAGAGTGTATCTCTTGGGGTCACAGTTTCGATGCTTCGAAACACAAAACCACAACATTTTAATAAAGAGAAATGATTAGTGATAAAATATTTTTGTATCCTTAAATACCAAAACAAAGAATTTATTATTAGTGATGAAATATTTTTGTCTTCCACAACTTAACTTTATGAGATGAAAAATGCATTCGTCACGCAATCAATTAGAATTTATTAGTGACGAAATATTTTCGTCTTCCATAACTTATCCTTCTGAGACAAAAATATATTTGTCGCCTATTTAATAGAAAGATGAAATGACATTGTTTGCATGATGGAGTGTTTATTGGTGACGAAATATTTTCGTCTTCCATAACTTATCATTCCCAGACAAAAATATATTTGTTGCCTAATAAATGGACATATGCAACGACATCGTTTAATAGGTATGGAATTTATTAGCGACGAATTACGTTCGTCACAAAAAAAAATTATATTTTGTGACAAAAATGTTCGTCTCCAATGAGCTAAAATAATTCGCGCCAATGCAAATGAATTTGGTGCCTCATTTTTTCAGACGAAATTTTGTTTTCGTCTCCTATACTTTTGAGAAAAATTAAAACAAATGACAAAATTAATATTTCGTCATCTTTGGGTTAAATTTTAAGACAAAAAAAAAGTTCGTCACCAAATTTTGTCACAATAGCCTAGATTTCTTGTAGTGAACTATCTAACCATCTAACTGACTGAAGAGATATTCTCATGAGGCAGCAACACATGAATGCCACAATGAGGCCGCAACTTAACTCCTTGAACTCCTTGAACTATTACAGTCATATGAGCTTGAATTGGAGCTTGAACTGGAACTAGGATGTCAACATTTCCCCTCAAGCGAAGGGAAAGTGAAACCTCCATAAGCTTGTTCTTATGATAGGAAAATCGAGAGACAGATAATGGCTTGGTAAACATATCAGCAATCTGATCAATGGTAGGAACATAATGCAAGACAAGATGTTTGGCAAGAACCTGATCTCTCACAAAATGACAGTCAACCTCAATATGTTTGGATCTAAAATGAAAGACAGGATTATACGCCAGAGCAATGGTAGAAACATTATCACACCAGAGCAAAGGCACAGTAGAGAAGCAATACAAAAATCATGGAGAAGCATGCCATGCGATGCCATGCCAAGCCAAGTAAGTTCTACAGCAGTATAGGCCAAAGATCTGTACTCAGCCTCAGTGGTGGATCGAGATACTGTAGCCTATTTCTTGGCAGACCAAGAGATAAGATTAGACCCTAGAAACACACAATAACCAGAGGTAGATTTTCTGTCAAGGACATCCCTAGCCTAGTTGAAGTCTGACTAAGCATGAATGTCAAAAGAACTAGGAGTGTAGGTGAGACCATGATTGAGAACACCTTTAACAAATTGAAGAACCCTCGTAACTGTAGAGAAATGAGCATTAGTAGGGGTTTGCATATGTTGACATAACTGATTGACTGCAAAGGACAAGTCAGGCATGGTGATGGTTAAGTATTGCAAAGTACCAACCACACTGCGATACAAAGTTGGATTTGCAAAGAGAATATCAAAAGTAGGAGACACAGCAGGCTTGATAGCAATGGGAGAATAACAAGGTTTACAATCCAGCATCTCAGCTTTATGAAGATGTCCTGAGCATATTTTGGTTGAGATAAAACATAGCCAGATATTGAGGAGTCAACATATATACCCAGAAAATAGGTTATGAGGCCAAGTTCTTTCATGGAAAACACTTGGTGTATTTGAGTAACAAGAGTCTGAATATGCTTCGTATCATTGCCAGTGATTAAAATGTCATTCACATACACTAGAAGAGCAATAAAGGTAAATGATATCTTCTAAATGAAAAGAGAAGAATCACACTTGCTATTGACAAAACCTTGAGAAATCAGGAAGGAGGAAAATGTAGAGTACCAGGCTCTTGGGGCTTGCTTAAGTCCATACAAAGCCTTGTGAAGTTTATAGACATAACTGGACTGAGATGTCAACACAAACAACAAACATAACAACAAAGAATATACAAAAAATATCAAACAATATATAAAAAATTATCAAATAGTTCATATTTATTGACGCACCATTTTAGAAAAATATGTATATAATCAACGCCGGTATAATATCGATGAATAAACTACACAATATTGGTGGCTACACAAATCGACAAAAAGACTACGGTTTATGTGTAACAGTGGCAAAAAAATGATTGTTCATCGCCGATTTTCCATCATCTTTGTTGCGAATCTATAATCATCTCTAGTATCGGTCTATAACTAACCTTCTCTTAGGCTTCGTTTGGGAAGTGGGTTGGCTTTTTGGCTTTTTGACTTTTTTGGCTATTTTAGCTTGGGCTAAAAAGTTTGGTTTGGGAAGGATTTTTTTGACTTTTTGGCTTTTTTGACTTTTTTTTGTGAGAGAACAGTGTAATGATTATGGGTTGGATTTGACGTTTTGTTTGTTATGGCTAAAATAGCCTATTTTGTTTTTTGTGGCTATTTTAGCCAAAAAAGTCCAAAAAGCCCAAAAAGCCTCTTCCCAAACAGAGATGTTTTTCCATGGCAAGACCTTAATGCAAAATAATGGTGAAGGAAGATCCTTGATTAAGTAAATTCCTCACATTGAGGCAAAGAAAATACTAAAAATAGTAATCTTTCATATTCTATATATATCACAAATAAAGTATATTTAATAATTGATATTCTCTCCTAAATATATGGTATAATTATTATATATATTATAACAAAAGTCTATAAGGATAAAATAGTCCATATAATAATTTTAATATGAGAAAAAACACCTATTAGAATATAAGTCTAAATATATGGGACTTAATAGAATATTAGAAAACTTTATAGACTTATTGGGCTAAATGGAATTTATAAATAGGAGTGGTTTGAAATGATCTAAATAAGTGTACTTTTTGACTTTGTATGAAATATGGATTGGGTTTGAAGTGATGTGGTAAATAAGTGATGTGGCTTAAGGCCAAGTTTGGGAAGACTAAGTGCACTTTTTGACTTTTTATGAAATATGGGTTGGATTTTGGTTGGGTTTGAAGTGATGTGTTAGAGAGGTGATGTGACTTAAATAAGATGATGTGACTTAAATAGGATAGTGACTTTTTGACTTTTTGAATTAGGAGTGGTTTGAAATGATCTAAATAAGTGTACTTTTTGACTTTTTATGAAATATGGATTGAGTTTGAAATGATGTGGTAAATAAGTGATGTGGCTTAAGGCCAAGTTTGGGAAGACTTGCACTTTTTGACTTTTTATGAAATATGGGTTGGATTTTGGTTGGGTTTGAAGTGATGTGTTAGAGAGGTGATGTGACTTAAATAAGATGATGTGACTTAAATAGGATAGTGACTTTTTGACTTTTTGAATTTTTTGGAGGATGCCAAACTTGGCCTAAATAAGATGATGTGACTTAAATAGAATAATGACTTTTTGACTTTTTGATATTTTAAGTTATGACAAACAAGACTTTATAAAAATAAAAATAAAAAAAGAAGAAGCAATTTTGTATCATGAATAATAAATATGCATGTGGCTTGCTCACTTGTGTTTAGGAGTAGGAAAAAGTAATAAAAAATGTGATTTATGTAACATTTTTCATTAAGAAAATGAAATTTAAATTTAGATCAAGTTTGAGAAGATTAAATAAGTTCACATTTTTTATCTTTTTATTTTTTTTAGGTCATATCAATTAATATCTTTTTTTTATTTTTTTATATATCTTTTTATAAAAAATAAAAAAATATAATTATATAGAACATACCAAACAATCCGTGAGAGGCACACTATTAGGTCCATACATTTCATTTTCGAAATATTATTTTTGACAGATTAAAAGTCGAGAGATCGGTGGAGACTGAGATTGATGGTGACAACAACAATATAGAGATGGTGTCGTAGATGGCCTGTGAAAATTATTATTTTTGATTATTTATGTCAAAAAAAATTCTTATGTTTCTAAAATTTAAAATATTACAACCTAAACTAGCAAACAAATTTGTAGTGACTATCGAGAAATGTGTTTTTAATTTTAATTTATTGTAGGGTGAGGCACACCAGAGCCACACATTTTATTTTCAAAAGATTATTATTTTTATACTATTATAATATTATTATTACCATCTTACCTGTCAACCATATCTTGAATGCCAACTATATCTTGAATGAGTTTTAACAATTGAATTAATATTATCAAATAAAATAATAAAAATAGATCATCATTTTAGACTGTGATGATTACCTGATGGATAGAAAAGTGATGATTACCTGATGGATAGAAAAGAGTAAGAGATTACTGTTTATGTTGAGTAGGAAAGAATAATATAAAATTAAGTAATTGATATTTTGAGACTATTAAATAATTTCTTAAGATTATTCATTGGACACGGTACACAACAATTTTTGTTGAGAACTGTTTGGTGGGGCTAGTTATGACATTGAAGGCTTTTCTCGCTAAATACTTAATTGCTGTCACTGAACATACAGTAGGAGGGGTGCGAAGTTATGAATAAGACAATACGAAGGATGAGAAGAAAAGAGTACAAAGCTGCATGTTTTGTTGAAAAGCAAAGAAAACGCTACCATGCCATACCATTAATTCTTGGATAAAAATACCAAACTTGAGGGAAAAAAATAAAAAAATGAAGGAAAGCAGCCGGTTTTCATGACTGGGTCTATTAATTAAGAAAAATAAAAAATTAATACAAATAATGTTGCAAGTCTTGATTTTATAATTTTAAAGTAAAAAAAAAAAATTATCAAAGTGAATTAATTTTTAAAAAAATGTCATTATCATATTATTTTAGGTAAAAATTCTGCATAAATATAATTATTTTATTTTTATTTCTCCCAATAGAACATAGTCAAATAAGCGAATACCATCACTATCATTAAAAGAAATCGGGTGTGAATCTAACACCTTAATTATTAGCTTCAAGTACAACAATCGCTTTAACAATAACTTACAAATGTACTCCAAAAGAAATATTCATAATATTTGAAATGTATGGATAAGATTTATTTAAGTTTTGACTCATACTTAAATCTACACCATACATTACCAATATTTTTTTGATATTTTCTCTGATACATAATATTTTGTCGAGAAAAAAAACAACAACATTAAAAATACAAACGAGCAAGAGAGTTTGTGGAGAAGAAAAAAGAAAAAAAGAAAAAAAAGCATTGTCCATATGAAGCATTTCATGACCTAGTGGTCTGAAACTCAAGAAGTTTGAAAGTGCTTGGATCTTCACTACTGAGCCAACCATACTTCTCCATGAAAGGGTTGGTTAGGGTTTGAGGTGGGTAGCTATCAACGCAATCATCCCACACATTTCTATCATCCAAGTCCCTCACCACCTCCCACAAACAACTATTACACTTAAAGCCAGCCCCAAAACTTATCATAAACACTTTGTCACCTTTCTTGAGCCTCCTCTTGGCTTCCATGTACCCCAAAACATACCAAAGGCTACTAGCTGAGGTATTACCAAACCGGTGAAGGGTCATTCTGGCCGGTTCTAGGTCATATTCGGTCAGGCTGAGGCTCTGTCCAATTCCATCGATCACTGCCTTCCCACCGGTGTGTACACAAAAATGATCGACACCAGTCTTGAAGTTGATCACCGGCCTCCCCCCTCCTCCCTTGCTAGAAGTTTGAGTCATTTTTCTTGCAAATGAGGCTATGGTGAATCGGAGAAGCTCTCGTAGGGGCAATATTTTTGGAGCAATTTCTTTGAGGTTATCGACAAAAGCTCGTGTCGCTACCTGTTGAAGATATAAGTAATAAATTACTCTTTTTTTTTTCTTTTTTTTTTTAATTCTTATATTTTTAGATGAATTAGTGATTAAAATTCAAAATATGTGTTAAAACTCATCACCTTCCATAAAATATAACGTAAACTATCATATTTAGGATACAATAGGGATAAGATTATCTCCAGTCCATTACAGTCCTACTAGTTCATTGTGTATGGTTTTATGTGTATGTAGTCAATTAAAAAAAATTAGTTTTATTCAATATTTATAATTACATAATTTTATCATATAGTCTTAAATAAATAAATAGTCTATTTTAAAATTATACTTGTCATCTAATATTTTGAAGACAGATATAATGAAATCATATGAATAATTGATCAATCAATTTTTTTTCTTCATGAATTAGCTACGAATAAAATTTTATAAAATGAAAGATGGTGATGACCAAATGGACTCCAGCTACACTATCCAGTGTACTATACACAGTCAACTTGAAACAACCCTCTTTCTAAATAGTTTACCTCTCCTCTAACACATTAATTTTATAACAAAATTATTAAATATAATCTCATCTCTTATGTCAATTTCTCAATGCTCAATATAATTTTTACTTATTTTCTCATTAGGTCAGTTGTCTACCCCCATTACCTTATGTTTATGAGTGAATAAAAAGGCAAATTACTTTAGTAGTTTCTAGACTTTTAGTTTCTTGTTATTTTTGTCTCTGTAAATTTAATTAACTCAGTTCTAATTATAAATTTATGATTTTATCTTAATTTGGTCAAATTAATTCCAATTATTTGTATTTTTTGATTAAAAAAATGCACACATAAACGGCATGTTATACTTTTATAGGTAAAATTGTAAACTTATTCTATTTAGTAAGCTAATCTCAACCAGCTCAATTATAATTTTTCTTTAAAAATCCTAATCAAAGTTATCAATTAGATTAAATTGACACAAAATTTAAAATTAAAAGTCAATATCAAACTAGTAATTAAAATTATAAAGATCAAAATGATATAAAGGTCAAAATACCCGAACTACCAACATAATTTATTTTGAAAAAAAATTAAAAGTGCATACTTCCCTCCAATCGTCTTATTGGGGTTTCATTTGGGATGTAAGTTGACTTTTTAGCTATTTTAACTTGAAACTAAAAAATCTCATTTGTGATAGATTTTTTTGACTTTTGTGAGAGAAAAAATAAAATGATTATGAATTGAATGTGACATTTTGTCCTATTTAGTTAAAATAGTCAATTTTATCTTATATAACTATTTGGGAAACTCCCGTGTAGGTCATAATAAGTAAACTTATTGTTTAATAGGTCCTATGGAAAAAAATTGTTATAAAAAAAATCACCAATTGTAAGTTTTAACAACAATTTATAAAAATCATGACAAAAAAAAATCACTAATTATCAATTCTAGCGACGCATATAAAAAATTATCATGAAAAAATTATTTTTAGTGACAATATTACCAAGACTTATTTTTAATAGAACTTAATAGGAATTAAATTCAACTATTAGGACCTATTAGTAGTTTATCCTAACTAATTTTAGCCCAAAGTCATATCCAAATGGGGCCTGAGTTGTAGGGTTCAATTTAATGTAACTGCGGCCTACTTTGGGTCCAATGATATGAGCCACTTAATTTTTATTACATTATCTATTAAAAAAATAAAAATTAGTCAAATATTAATCACCATATATCTAGCTCATATTTATTTTTAAAAAATAAAAAAAAATGATCTATTTTGATAATCATAATTGCAATCCACTTTTAAATAAATAAAATGTTATCTAAACATACAATTATTAATATTTGATTAATTTAATTTTCTGCATGAATGATATAGGACTCTTTTGAAAAATGAGTTAAAAGTCATTTCTAACTTTTAATCAATTTTCAGTCACATTTTCTCTCACATTTTTTATACGTTTTTTATAAAAAAAAATTAAAAAATTAATTTTTAACAATCTTATCAAAATAATCCATCGTCAAAAGGTACTTAAAAATTGAACCATTTTAATCAACCCAAGTGGGCTCAAATTATTTTAAACTTAGACTTGAGAAATCCATTTTAAAAATAAAATACCCCTTTCATTTTAAAATAATAATCTCTTTTTGAGAATCTAATTTTTTTTTATAGTACAATTATTACGCATTAAAAAAATTAATTTTTCAAAATTATATTTTGATAATACATTTTTTTAGTAAAATATCAATTGTCATAATTGTATTTTTATGTTATTAATGAATTAAGTATTTTCATATATTTGTATGTTTCTTCATCGATAAAGTTTTTTTTTTTGCTGATAAAAAAAAAGTTATTAATGAATTAAAAGAAGAGTAAAATAAAAAATTTATATTATTTATATTCTTAATTTTTGAAAAAAAAACTAATATTTAAGAATAATGAAAAATAGAATAAAAACTAAGGTTGTGTTTGGTAGAGTTTTGAGGTGTCATTTGAGAAGTGGGTTAGCTTTTTGACTTTTTGATTTTTTTAGCCTGAACTAAAAAGCTTGGTTTGGGAAGGGTTTTTTAACTTTTTTTGTGAGAGAATAGTGTAATGATTATGGGTTGGATTTGATGTTTTATTTGTTGTGGCTAAAATGACCTATTTTGTTTTTTGTGGTTATTTTAGCCCCAAACCAAGTTCCCAAACAATGCCTAAATATGATTTGAGAGTATGAGTTGTATTTTGAGTTTGTGAATTGTGGAATTATGATTTGAGTGTAGAAAATTCGTTTGGTTATGATTTTTGAATAGAATGTTGAATTGAGTGTGAAATTGAGTTTTGAAAGCTTGATTTGACATGTGAAGTAAGAAAATTTGTTTGGTTATGAGTTTTGGAAAGAGTTTTAAAACTTAATTCAAATTATTATAACTCATAACAAAACACACTACTTTCACACTATTGAAAATCTTGATCAACACTCATAACCAAACTCTTTTTAAAATTCAATTAAAAAAATTATTATTAACAGAAAATAACATTAATCAATTTTTTAATTGAAAATACTACAAAGGAAATAATTTTTTTTCAAAATAAATATTCAAAAAATTTAAATCATAAATATTTAAATAATTTAAATAATCTAAAAAATTTAATAAGTAAAAAATTAAAATAAATATTCAAAAATTTTAAATCGTAAAAATTTAAATAATTTAAATATTCAAAAAATTTAAATAATTTAAAATGTTAATATTTTAAATTTAAAAATAACTCTACACTCAAATTATAACCAAACACATAAAACAAAACTCAATTAAGAAATTATTTTTAAAACTCATAACCAAACACATAGTTCGAAACTCCATACTACTTTCACAACTCTACACTCAAATCATAACCAAATACATAACAAAAAAAATTAAAATATTTAAATATTTTTATAAAATAGAGTTTGAATTTATTTTTGTAAAATATTTTAAAATTTTAAAAATTAAAATCGTAATATTTTGAAATTAAAATATTTAAAAATTTAAAAAATCGTAACATATTAAAATATTTAAAATCTTAACAAAATTAAAATATTGATTTGAATTGAATTTTGAAAAGAGATTTGAATTATGTGTTTGGTTGTGAGTTTTGAAAAGTAATGATTATGTTTTGAATTGAGTTTTGAAAAATGTGTGTAGAATTATGATTTGAAAGCTCTAAACAAACAATACACTCAAATCAATTGATAGAATTATATTTTGAGAAACTTACCAAACGGAGCCTAATATTTTGAAACTGGCGGGTTGTTTAGAATGTGCTATATAAATGCATTTTTTTGACTTTTTGGTTAAAAAAATAGAGAAAAAAATATGTATGTTTGAAATAATTTTTTGACTTTTTACAAAAAAAATATATATTGTAGTAAAATCAAAATGACCATTTTACCCTTATTGACTTTTTGACTTTTAAATTTTAATTTTTTAACTTTTTGATAGTTAAATTCAAATGGTAAAATAATACTTTTGCCCTCTAAGTTTCCCCACAAACTTCCTCCAAATAATATGATGAAATTTTTAATTTTTTTAATAATTCTTTAACTTTTTGTAGATTATGCCAGACAAGCCTATTTCAAAAATAAAAAATAAAAAATGAGATCATGTATAAAATTATTTTAATCAATTAGCACTACCTTTGGAAGGTTCTTGCCTAGGTAAAACCCTAACCTGCCTTCATCATCTTCCCTCTGCAAGCAGCATCCATAGGATTCATCTCTGGAACCATGGTGGGTTCGAACCAGACACTTCAACTTGAACATGGCTCGATGCTTCAAAGCCACCTTATTAGTCAAAAGTACAGCACACCCACCAGACCTAAACAAACAATTAGACAAAATCATGGACCTATCATTCCCACCATACCAGTTGGGACTCAAAGACTCCGAAGCCACAACCAGTGCACACACATTCTTTCGATTCTTGAATATGTTCTCAACAACATTCGTGGAAATCAAACTCGCACTACACCCCATTCCTGTCAGATTGTATGTTTTAATGTTCTCTCTCATCTTGTACTTGTTGATGATCATGGCCGTTAACGAAGGAACGGCTGAGATCATCGACACGTTGACGACGAGTACGTCAATCTCCGATGGTGACACGCCGGACCTCGACAGGAGTTTGTCGATGGTGCCGTCAAACAACTCGGACATTTCTGAGACGCCGTCGGAGATCGATGGCAGGTTTTCGCGGGCCGAGAAGACGATTCTCGGACCGTAGGTCTGTTCGCCGATTCCCGAGCTGACAATGGCTTTTAAGAGGAACCTGTATTCGTTGAGTCCGAGGTTTTTGTTTCGTTTGATGATTTCGCCGCTGAGTTCTGTGCTGAGCTTTCGATCGTCGGTGGGTTTGAAGCATTGGTAGTCTAGAATGTAGCAACACTGGTGTCTTTTTTTATCAAGAATAGTGAATAGTTTGAAGAAGAGGTAGGAGACAGAGAGAATGAAGAGGAACAAAAAATAGTCCATGAGAGAGAGAGAGAGAGAGAGAGAGAGAGAGAGGGAGGATGTCTTTTTTTTGTAGGTTTTTTGGGTTTTTTTTGGATGATGGATTTAAAATGAAACAGGGAGAAGTATAAAAAGAGAGCGAAAAATGATGCAGAGTGGTTTGACGTGGCAGTGAGTCTCACTCATTATTATGTGTTATGTGTTTTAATTTTTTTTTTTTATTTATTATATTATTAATGATAGTGTTAGTAATAAGAATTTAATGATATATAATAATGATGATGTTGGTGATAAGAATTTAGTGACATGTAACGTTGTTGAAAAGAGAGGTGATGAAGGTTAATGATAGTGTTAGTAATAAAAATTTAATGATATATAATAATGATGATGTTGGTGATAAGAATTTAGTGACATGTAACGTTGTTGAAAAGAGAGGTGATGAAGGTCAGACATGATGTGAGTAAAGGATCTCTACAAGAAAGATGTCTGTGTCAAAGTATTACGCAACTCCCAACAACTGATTAGTGAATGGTGTTTTTGGATTTTGATAAAAAATTGATTTTTTAATTTTTTGGTTTTTTTATAAAAGATCGGATTATTTTAGGAAAAAAAATTGAGTTTTTTTATTAAAAAATATTAAAATGTCAAAAAAATTGACTTTTTTGTGTGTTGCCAGAAGACCAGAGTTGACTCTTCCGTGACAATCTTTGTTGCAGTGCAATCAAATCTTACGGATGTTAATAAAATTTTAATATATTAAGGCTTGGTTTGGGAAGTGGGTTGGTTTTTTGGCTTTTTGGTTTTTTTGGCTATTTTAGCCTGGGCTTAAAAGCTTGGTTTGGGAAGGGCTTTTTGGCTTTTTGACTTTTTTGAGTTTTTTTGTGAGAGAAGAATGTAATGATTATGGGTTGGATGTGATGTTTTGTTTGTTATGGCTAAAATAGCCTATTTTGTTTTTTGTGGCTAAAATAGCCAAAAAAGCCTCCAACCTCACTTGCCAAACAGAGGCTAAATATAAAAAAAAATTTAAAAATGTAACAAACTATTATTAAAATATTTTTAATGATTAATTTAATATTTTAAATTTTAAAATGATATAATTTTTTATTTAGATGTCAATTTTTAATAAAGTTAATGTATTTTTAGAATCTCTCCATTAAGATTTATCAAATAAGATTTATGTTGACTATAAAATTCTTTATAAAAAAAATCCTATCAAAGTTGACGTAAACAGTAAAATGTTATTTTATTTTATAATAATATGTTGCTGATTACCATAATAATATTTTACTGTTTACTTGAACAGAGCATAGTAAGGGATTGTTTGGGATGACCTAAATAAATGTACTTTTTGTCTTTTTACGAAAAGATGTGCAGAAAAGTAGAGAAGTGATGTGATGGAAAAAAGATAAAAGGATAAAAAGATAGCTTATTTTGATGTTGCCAAACTTGACCTAACAAAAAAAAAAAAACAAAATATGAACTGAATGAAGCTATACGAGTTCCTTCATTACGCCCTCAGAAGTTGACGAATTTGATCGCAATAATTGAACGTGATCTCTGTATTCAACTCCTCCTCCTCCTCCTCCTCCTGACATTTCTAATTCATTCTCATAACCCCATCCTAATATCTATATATATACAATAAACCTGTTGCATACAAGTCTTGAAGAATCTAAGAAGATCTTGAAGGAAGAGATGATGAACTATGAAATTCAAGCCCTAATTATACAGATAATAGGAGTTTGAATTTGCTTCGGATCCTTTTATGGTGAAGAATTGATTCAATTAGGGTTTAGAGATTTTTAGCAAAACACCAAGCAAATAAAGTATCAATCTCCGAATAAATCAGATAAACAAACTTGGACCTCAGCTCACATTCATGCCTCGCAAGCAATTCAAAACTTATTCTCATTAGCTTAAAAGCCTCCGTTTGGTTACCAAGAAAAATGAAAGGAAAAGAAAATATAGATTCAACACTATTATTCACTCGTAATAACCAAGCTAAAGAGTACCATCACAAACAAATTAAAAACTAACGAGTTTTCTCTAGAAAAACAAAGAGAAATTCAAAGGGCAATTTTATCCCAAAAGAAATAAAAAACATAGTTGTGTCCTCTATCAAGTATGAGCCTCCAGGTAAGAGCATCTCCAACCATTCACTTCTTTTTTCACCAAATCTGAGTGAAAAATAGTTTATTTTCTCAATTTGATATTTCTTTTTCTAACGGTGAGCATCAAAGCAGAATTGAGGGAAGTGGTAGACCGGTTGGTCAACCGGCCGGTCGATTGGTAAGTGCAATTTTTTTTTTTTTTTTTACCTGTTTGAACCTTTTTTAACGGTTTGAACCTACCTATTTGAAAGGGAACCGGTCGACCGATTGGTCTCCTCCAACAGTCACGCACAGTAATTTGATGAAACCTGTATTCTGTTTTCAGTTTGATGTTTTTTTTGTTCAATTCTCCATTTGATATCAATTTGGTGAAACCGTTGAAGCTCCAAAAAGTGTATTTTTCACCAAATTTTAAATTTGATGCCGTGTCCTCCATCAACCGTTGGAGATGGTCTAAGGGAGTTTATGAAGGAAAAATTTATGAATTGTCCTTTCACTAAAAAATGGTCCAATCACTACAACAAAAATCACCTTTGGCGACTAAATTTTTAGTCGCCAAAAGTCCCTGTTTAGTTGCCAAAAGTGGATTTTTTAGATTCAGCGACTAAATGTTTTAGTCGCCCATTTTGTCGCCAGTACTTAGTCGGCAGAGGTATTGGCGACTAAACAAATTTTAGTCGGCAAAAACCCCCAGTTTCAGCGACGAAAGTCATGGTCGCCAATAGTGAATTACACTTTCGGAAATTATACATTCAGCGACTGATATTTTAGTCGCCGATAGCCATGAATCGCCGACCAAAGTCATTAGTCGCCCAAAGCAACACTTTTGGCGACGACTAATTTTAGTCGCCAAAGGTACCAACATACTCCCCCCACTATGCCACTTGAACCTCACATGATTATATATGCAATATATATTATTTATATAGTATATTAATCGGTATTAATACAAAACTAATTATATAAATATAATTATTTTTATTGAATATAAATTATGTAAAAAATAAATTTTTTATTAAAAAAAAATTTAGGCCACTTTTGGCGACTAAAACCATTATTTAGTCGCCAATTCTATTATTTTGGGCTACTAATGATTTTTTTGTCGCTAAAAAAATTAGTTCCAATTAAAAATATGCACTTTTGGCGACTAAACCTGTTTTTAGTCGCCAAAAACATCACCTTTTGGCTACTAAACTGAATTTTAGTCGCCAATACTCAGTTTTTAGCTACTAATTTTTTTTTGTAGCCAAAAAGCTTCACTTTCAGCGACCAATATGTTTTTAGTCGGCAAAACACCTACAATTGGCGACCAATCTGTTTTTTAGTAGCCAAAACCATCACTTTTGGCGACTAAATTATTTTAGTAGCCAAAAACTGTCACATTCGGCGACTAAACTACCTTTAGTCGCTAAAACCCCCAGATTCGGCAACTAAACTGCCTTTTAGTCGCTAAAAAGCTTGTATTCGGCGACTAAACTGTTTTAGTCGGCAAAAGTGACCAATTTTGGCGACTAATTCCATTTTAGTCGCCAATTCTACTACTTTCAACGACGAAAAAAGAAACTTTAGTCGCCAATTCTGTAATTTGTTGTAGTGAATGAAGGGATTTTGACTAAATTTTCGATAAAAATATAGTGAAAATTTCAATTCGGTAGAAAGATAAAACAAAATTACAAATTAGTTGTAAAACTTATCAACTTAATTGAAGCCGTAAACTTTTTCATGATTTTGCAATTGTTTTTGGATCTTTCCACTTAATTGCAATTTCTCCAAAAATATACCCATCCAAGCACAACCTTAATAATTTAATGGGCAAATTATGTTGAAACTCCTTATGCTTTGGTTTAGTAATGATAGAAACCTTCACAAAATATAATTCCCACAACTCCCAAAATGATCTAAACTATTCATGTCACTATCAGACACAACCCCCCAAACAAATTCAAACACATCAAAGGTCAATACATCAGTGGGGGGCGTGAAGGTCCTCCTTTGTGGGGGTCCCAAACATTTTTCATTTCGATTCTTGTGTCATTTTGATTTTTATAATTTCAATTGATTCGATTTTGACTCTAAATTTATGATTATCTCAACAAAAAAAAAAATTAGACCAGCAAAAGAAAGAAACTTTTATTGATATACATCAATATAGACAAAGAATGTCAATCTAAGAATGTGGGGACCAAAATGACACAAGAGTCAAAATGTAAGAACTATCGGTGCAGTTTGTCCTATTTTAATTTACATATTACTTTTCATGAGTAATTTCATTGGTAAAATGGATAAAAAAATACTTTTCTAAATACATGTATATTTTATTTTGTTTATCTTTGTATTTTTACACTATCTACATTAATTCTAATTTATTTAACCTTATTAAAAAGAAGGTCAGTATAATTAAGTCAAAACTATATATTTTATTATATTTTTTTCAAATTTTAAGAAATTGAATATAATTTATCTAAAAAATATTTAAAAGCATTCAAAATTTCAAATATGAAGTGCCATATAAACATGACTAGTTATTTCCATCATTCCTATCATTATTATTGCAGTTTGCGAGTGTGAGGAGGATAAGGTCAATTTGTGGAGGTAAAAAAATTGTGTGATGTGAGTATCAATCAAAATAAATCTAATATCTCGAGAAATTTTTTCTCAATAAAATTTAACTCATCAGAATTTTGAATTTTTAAGTCGACCTGCCTATCTACTTACACATCTAAAAAGGAGTATGAATGTCAAAGCCTTTATAGTGTGTACGGATAGTAGCCATAGCTTTTCCAATTTGTGAGTTGTGGTGTCATCCACATTTAAGAATTGCAAGCTGGGGTAGATGCAACCAAGGCTTGGTTTGGGAAGTGGGTTGGCTTTTTGGCTTTTTGGCTTTTTTGGCTATTTTAGCCTGGGCTAAAAAGCTTGGTTTGGGAAGGGAATTTGGCTTTTTGGCTTTTTTGACTTTTTTTATGAGAGAAG